TTGGAAGGTAAAGAAAGAAAAGAAAAAAGAGAAAGAACAAAAAGTAAGCAGTGTGGCGGATGATGACAACGACGACGACGATGATGATGATGATGATGATGATGATGATGATGATGATGATGATGATGATGATGATGATGATGATGATGATGATGATGATGATCGTGGAGAGACAATTGTTGTTGTTTTTGGTTGTTTTTGTTTCAGTGTTAATAATAATGTTACTGTTGAGGATTGTTCCAGGCAATGTTGTCGCTGTTGTTGTTGCTGCTGCTGTTGTTGTTGTTGTTGCTGTTGTTGTTGTTGTTGTTGTTGTTGTTGTTGTTGTTGCTGTTGTTGTTGTTGTAAGTACACTCGTGGTTCTGGTCGTCGTTACTGATAGTCATTTTTGTTCGTTGTTATTATTGTTATTGTTATAATGTTATCGTTGTTTTTGTTGGGGTTTTTGTTGTTGTTTCGTTCCCCAAAAGGGTTGAGTCAAATTCAACGGCGAATGAGTGCAGCAACACAAGTCACAAGTCTGGTTTCATGATGACTCTGAAGTCAAGACACATCTCACCAGCCATGGACTGCTTTGCACGTTGAGTCTTTGAGTGGCGAATTACTCGCACCTCTGCCACAAAACGGCCTGGCGTGTTCTGAGTCTAAAGTTGGAGGAAACAGCGAGATATTTACCCAGATATAATAGGCGATATTATCCAGATATTTATCAACAAAACTGTTGTCTAATTTTGTTTCTGGAAAATATTCCTGTGCACGGCAGGGCCACAATTTAATTATGAAAATATCGATGATATGCGTGTTTTCATAGACTGTTGTTTTGTGTTGCTTACGTCAAGCTGAATAGAGCACAGACATTGCTGACGTCATCAACACCACTGCTGTGTATTGTTTGTTTCTGACATAGCAGCGAGTACCGTTTGTCTCCTTTAAAAAAAGGGAGGAAATAATTATTTCTCTGGCCTTATGGGAACCAACTCCGTTTTCACATCAGTGCACTTTTTGTTATGACAAGTTGAACCTTTTGCAGACATCTGTCGTTCAGGTGTTCTGCTGCGAAGCTCGTCTTGTACAGTGCCTCAAGAGTCCTGCAGAATTAGAATAAGTTCGAAGTCGGTTTGTGGTGTAGTACCAAACGTACGTATAACATTTTATTAGAGATACACCCAACAGTGATAAACGTTTATGGATTATCCAAACTGACTTCATGTACATGTGATTTTTCTTTGAATGTACGAATGTACTATTGGTACGAATCGGTACATGAAATTAATGATTTTGTGCTGGAACATCATCAGAACCAAAAAGGGGGAAAACAACATGTGTTTCCAAATGGTTTGAGTTCGATAATTCCCTTTAGAGCAACTCAGCAAGTTGAGGATTTTGTAGGACTCTTAAGACACGCAGTGGTGTGTCAACCCCTGTGTTCAACCCAGCCCCCAGCTGTCTTCATGCTTTGATGTGGCAGCTAAACACCGCCTAAACTGGCTTGAAACAACTACGGCAACCTTCATGGGAGAAAGAACTCTGGTGTTTTGGATTCCCTGGGACTCCCAAGATGTAAAAATTGCCCTGCGTTCTTGGCAGGAACCGGGTTTCTTTCGATATTTATTGTTCTTTTTGTTTGTCGATTGTTTGTTTTTGTGGTTTAATGGGATTTTGCAGGGGGTTGTTCGTCTTTTATCCCAGAAATGTGTTCATGGAATCAATTGTGAGGCCTCGAAAAAAATCACAAACTTGTAACATGTCCAGCGCGTGGCTCTGCAGCCAGTGGACATACAGAAGTGCGTGGGGCAATGACTCTTCCAGGCTGAAGGCTCTCTCGCTGTAAGCTGTGCCTAACTGAGCTGGCATTGAGCAGATCTGACGTCTGAAGCCGTTATTACCCTGTCCCCGTCATTCCTTATGGTAACAACAATCCTCTTCTTCAAGTCCAACAAATCTCCGCCCTCCCCCTCCCCTCCTCCATCTCCAAAATCCCCACCCACCCCACTAACTTTTTGACTTTCCATAGCGCCCTCTCCTCCACTCCACATAAACAGTTCTAATTTCTATAGCCCCCCCCCCTTTCCCCCGACGTTCCATATTCCCTTCTCCCTAACTCACGTCCCTCCCCACCACCTTCTCCAGTTTGAATACCCCCTCTCCCCCAACACCACAAATTGTTCATTCCACTTTCCATAAGCGCCCCCCTCCCTTCCA